GGCCGTCTTATGCATCACGATCGGCCCCCTCAGCGCCATCGTGTCCTGATTCACGGTTCGGAGCGCCCATTCCCTCCAGGATGGCGACGACCGTCTTATGCAGTACGACCGGCCCCTCAGCGCCATCGTACCCAGCTCACGTTCGGCTCGTCCATCCCTTCCAGGGTGGCAACGAACGTCTTATGCAGCACGATCGGCCCCTCAGCGCCATCGTGTCCTGATTCACGGTTCGGAGCGCCCATTCCCTCCAGGATGGCGACGACCGTCTTATGCAGTATGATCGGCCCCTCAGCGCCATCATACCCAGTTCACGGTTCGGCTCGCACATTCCCTCCAGGATGGCGACGACCGTCTTATGCAGCACGACCGGCCCCTCAGCGCCATCGTACCCAGCTCACGCCCGGCCCGTCCGTCCCTTCCAGGGTGGCGACGAACGTCTTATGCAGCACGATCGGCCCCTCAGCGCCATCGTGTCTCTTTCACGTTCGGATCGCGCATCTCTTCCAGGATGGCGACGAACGTCTTATGCAGTGCGATCGGCCCCTCAGCGCCATCGTACCTGGCTTCACGGTTCGGCTCGCACATTCCCTCCGGGATGGCGACGACCGTCTTATGCAGCACGATCGGCCCCTCAGTGTCATCGTGTCTCTTTCACGTTCGGATCGCGCATCTCTTCCAGGATGGCGACGAACGTCTTATGCAGTGCGATCGGCCCCTCAGCGCCATCGTACCTGGCTTCACGGTTCGGCTCGCACATTCCCTTCAGGATGGCGACGACCGTCTTATGCAGCACGATCGGCCCCTCAGCGCCATCGTGTCTCTTTCACGTTCGGATCATGCATCCCCTCCAGGATGGCGACGAACGTCTCATATGCAGCACGATCAGCGCCCCAGCGCCATCGTGTCTGGCTCGTGTTCGGCTCGCCCATCCCTTCCAGGATGGCGACGAACATCTCTTATACAGCTCGATTGGCCCCTCGGCGGCATCATGCCTAGTTCACCTCCGGCTCCGCCCATGCCATCTCGGATGGGGGACCCGTCGTATGCAGCATGATTGGCCCCTCGGCGGCATCATGTCTAGTCCACCTTCGGCTCCGCCCATGCCATCTCGGATGGGGGACCCGTCTTACGCAGCGCGTCTGCTTCTCGGCGCTGACATGCCCGGGTTATCGATGAGAGTTACTGCTTCTATCACATCTTGCATTCCCTCTCTCATACATTACATACATACATTACATACATACATACATTCATGCATCATACCTCATACATTCATACATACACACGTGCATCATGTTTTGACAGTACCGCGACGTCGGTTTATAGATGATGGACCTCTAAGCTTCTCCGATTGGAAAGCTCGAGTCAGAGTTCTTTACTCCCGCCTGATGCATTCAGGGGGAGTGTGCCCGTGGAGGAGCACCCTTCGCCCGACCCTGTCGGGAAGGGGGGTGCCTCACTGGTAGATTACGTTCAGGAGTGCAGACACTCACTCATATATGATGATTATGTGAAGACACAATTTCCAGCAAGACAGAGGAAGAGCGCAGGCAGAGTATATTTTCTCGAGCAGATTCGCGGGCTCACTACTCAAGAAACTGGGGGACTTGTGTTGGGATATATTATCCCGGCCTATTACTGTTCATGAGTCCAAGGCTTTACGTAGTACGGAGCCCGAGCAGCTAGGCCCATTTCGGCCCATCCGGCCCACTTTAGCCATTTGGGCCCACTCCGGCCCATGCGGCCCATTAGGGTGGAGAGCATCCCCTTCCCCTATTCTCTATAAATATAGGAGTTTCCCTCCATATTATAGATCCTTTTCTTCTTCCTCCTTCTCACTAGAATAGCTTAGAACTCCATTAATGGGAGCTTCAATACTTGTACTATGTAATGGTGAGGAGAGTCCTAATGAGAATGAGAGGGCTTGGACATTAGCCTAAAAAGTCCCGTGGTTTTCTCCCTTTCGGGTTTCCACGTAAAAATAGTTTGTTCATACACATTCATACATATATTTACTATATCGTGTTGGATTAAACTCAACAGGTAATGTTGGGCTCTTATGTTCATTAATAAGGCCCAAATAAGTATTTGCAAAACCCGACACTAATATACGAGTTTGAACAGTACAATATTCAATCATGCACTACGTAAAACATAAATTGTTTTACAAATTGTTTGGGAATCGGAAATTCAATACATAAACTTTGATTTTTTTTAATTGAATTTTTGAGGACGTTCAGGTGCGGTGTCACAGATGATGCGATTACAAAAAATGTACTTATGTTGTTGATAATTAATTGATAAAGGGAACATAAAGTTTGACATTATCAAATTTGATATGAGACAATCCTTGAGAGAGTAAAAACAATGAATTTTATCAATCGATAACATTAAAGATAAGATGTCTGCCAACACGGGACTTGAAAGACAGGGTGTATATCAATATAAGGCCGAATGACTAAAAACTATCAATGCGCAACCTAAAATACCAAGTAATTTTACATTTTATATTTAAAAAACTTAAATATCATTTAATCATATTAAAATAATAAGCTTTTGTGAAAAAAAAAATGTCAAAAGTTTGCCATAGAAGTAATAAAATAAAAAATCAAAATAAATCAGAGTTTATGATGTTTTAAGTCCTAAATAATTAACAATCAAGTATTCCAACTAGAATTTATATTTCAGAATCATATTACTCCCTCCGTATTTAAAATTTCCTGCATTTTCCTTTTTGATAAGTTTTTCTTTTAAAAATACTCAATCACCTTTATTTTTTCTTCTTTTATCCTCTCTTTCCTACTTTTTCTCTCTCTCCTACTTTTTTTTTATATTATTCATTACCGTTACTATTCTTTCTTAAATCTTGTGTCATAATCAAGTGTATCCATCTTTTAAATACGGAGGGAGTATCCATACGTCTTCGGATGAATATCCCGTGCTGCTGAGTTCGATGAACGGTAGAGATTACTTTAGCATGGCTTCTTCTTCATTTGGTGGAATTTTGGGTGGTAGCTCTTGGGAAGATGGTCACCAAATGTGTGTATTTTTAGATAAAAGAATGGCACAAATATCACTCTTCAACTTTCATTGGACAAAAAGATGATTAAATTTCCTCTTGACAAAAAAGTGGCCAAATCTTAAACGATTTCCCTTTTGGACGTTCTCAACGCATCACTATTATTACTAGACGCGCCCAATTTTTCTCTAAGCTGGACAAATACATCCTTTTCTTCTTTTAACAATTTCTTTTACTGCACGCGTCACCAAATATATGGGGTTTGGGATTATTGTATTATACCAACAAAAAATCTCCTAAGCCCCATCCACTGGCGTGGAATTTAGATGATCAAAGGAATTTTTCAATTGAATGTGTTGTATATAGAATCTCCCAAGGAATTTGTATATATTTTTTTATGATCAAAACATGTCTCTATTCATATCAAAAGATTCAGGATCATTACATCATTCAAAGGGAAAATAAAACTGACACCAACTGGAACTCCAACAACTACGACTGTAACCCTATAGTGAGACTTTGAGACAGTAACCCCTGAAAGAGCAACACGAATCGCTAACCATATAGTGGGCTTGACACAGGCACACAACCAAATCTGTTCCCATAGATCCAACCATGAATCATACCCAATGACATAAAGAGAGGCTAAAAACTAAAACAAATTTTCAAAACCAACAACAAAGATGAGCACAAGAAAACAAATGACAAACAGATAAAAATTACCAGGAAAACTTTCACGGACTCTAGCACCTCGTACAACCCATGATGGTGGTTCAGGCGGAGGTCGGACCGTCGCTCGATTGATACCCTCTTTCAGTGTCGTACCCGCCGTATGACCCAAATCCATGCCATCAAATGGAGCATTCAGCCTCTCCACGCTAACCATGTCCCAATCATCCCTACATCTCTCTCTCTCTCTCTCTCTCTCTCTCTCTCTCTCTCTCTCTCTCTCTCTCTCTCTCTCTCTCTCTCTCTTCTTCCACCATCTTCTCGCTGCCACGATCATCCATCTCGAGCTACGTCCAAACCACGACAATCCGGTGCAGTGCTGCGTCGATTGAAAGAAAACGCCGCACTAGGGCGGCGAAGTAAAAACCCTACGCGAGAGATCTCGCTAGGGAAACACTGACTGAACTTCAATCAAGAAAGATCGAAATCGAAAATTACCTAACGACAGCTCTGCCCTAGATGTTGTTCGGCATGAGTTTGAAACGTTTATTTGTATATTTTAGAATGTTAGATTAGTATAAAAATTTATCAATCTAAGACATGAAAACTATCCATCTAAAATCTAAAATATCATTGCTAATTTTTGATATCATTAATTAAGAATTTATTTAATTCTTAATTAATTTCATTGCTAATTTTTGATGACATTTTCTTCACAAATGTTTATTATTTTAATAAGAGTAAGTAATATTTAGACTTTTGAAATATAAAAAGACATCAAAATTCATGGTACTATATCGATATAGTCATATATATATGTACATCGATCTTGTTTTCCATGGCGATAGCTTGACTTATACAGATCTGATCATCTCAGGTTAGACTTTCACGATAATAAAATTCATCGAATCAGACTTAAAAAGAACGGACCAAAATACAAATACTTTTTCCAAATTTTACATATACAATTTGACATTTTTTTTTACTGAAATCGAAGTACAAAAGAAAAAGTCTAATAAATATTCTATTTTTTTTTACTAATACCTGGTAACATTTTAAGACAATGGTTTATCACATATCATGAAACTATTGGTTGTAACTTGTAATCATTTTGAGATTGATTGAAATACGTTGGGTCTAGGGGTGATGATAAGTCCATTTTTGTACTTATTTTTCTTATCAAATTTAAGCGATTTTTGAATAAAAATAGAAAGAAAAGGCATGTTTTAGATATTTTGGTTCGAGTTTCATGAAATCAGGTAAAAATCACATCCATAATATGTTTAGCGGGATTTCGGGTCAATTGAGCACAAAATGAGCCAATTTGGACAACAAATGATATCATACCAAAAGAAGGAAACATTATTTCAAAGTGGTCCAGAAGACAATATTGAAGAGCACAAAACAAGGAACAAGCCGGACAAAGAATCTCATAGGCGCCCAAACAGGCGGCCAAAACGAAGGCCTTCGCGGCCGCCTACGGTATTTTTGGAAAGTCAAACTTTGACTTTGACCGGATTCGGAAAAGACCGTAGGCCGCCGACACTGGACGGAAGGCGGCCGCCTACGGTGACCGCCTGCGGCAGAAGACGACGAAGCAACCACCGGCCGGTGGGATTTGACGGCAGGCGGCCAGACAGGAACGGCAGGCGGCCGCCTGCTGGACCGCCTGCGGTGGCCGGGATCCGCCGGGATCCGCCGGGATCCGATTTGACAGTGAAAAGACGGCAGGCGGCCGATGGGTGACGGAAGGCGGCCGCCCTCTGTGGCCGCCTACGGCTGACGGAGACCAGCCCACGTGTCGTTGCCGGCGAGCTGACGGCAGGCGGCCAGTTGCTGCCGGAAGGCGGCCGCCTGCCCGGGCGCCTTCGGGGAAATTTTTCCTATAAATTGCCCGATTTTTCCTCAACTCAAAGACACCTCTTCCAATCCTAAATCAGTTCAAAACACCTTCTTTCTTCCTCCATTTTCGAGCTCCAAAGGTCTTAGAGAGAGAAACTTCAAATCTTCATATCTTCTTCATTTTAGTTCCAAATTGTAAGTTCTTTATATGTATTTTCATCTTCTCAACGAGTAGAATCTGAATCTGCACTTTGTTTGTTCAATCTGTTCTTCGAAAATTTCCAGATTATTTTTCAAGTATTTCGCATTTACTTCCAAAAATTAAATAAAATAGTTGTTGATGTTTAATTCATTCCAATTAATTATATAGTTGTTCAATAGCCTCAAGGTAGTTAATTATCTTATTAAAGTTAATTTTCACGAACCAGAAGTAATTTTTAATTAATTTTGGTAATTATTTGATATTAGTTCGTAATTTAGATTAAATACTAGAAAAAAGGAAAAAAAAATTAGTTCGGCCTTAATTTCAGTTTAATTCATAGTAATATCACTCCCAGTAGCTAAAATGAAATTTGTAACGAAGTTAGCATATTTTTAGTTGCTTTTTGCATTTTCTAGTTAAAATTGGGAAAATTATCAATTAGTTGTTAAAATTGGATTTTAGGTTCAAAAATTGGTGAAAAATTCCAGAAAGTTATATTTTAGTTCCTACAAATTTATTGTTCCAGAATATAATTTTTGTTTGATGTTTGCTATCATACATGTTTAATTCCTTGTTAATGTTGAATTTAATCATTATGTTGTTAATTGCAAAAATGATAATGAGTAGCTAAATTTGTTAGGGCATGAATTGAGAAAAGGAATATGGATTGACTTGTTGACCTAAAATTAGGGGTTAAGATTAATAAATTGGACTAGTTGTTTAAAATGATGAAATAAGCAATTAATAATAGTTAGCCATTTTCATTAATTAAATTCTTGGAAAATTAATTCTAACTTGTCGATGAGATTAGAAATGAATTTGAGCCAACCATATTTGAGCACATTAATAAGGCCTAGAAATAGGATAATTTAATGAAAAGGATTTACATCTTGTCTATGAGAAATAAATTCAATTGCTAAAATAAAGAGTTTAACTAGTTAATGAATTTGGCTATTTTTATTAATTAAAGTATTGGAAAATTATTTCTACCTTGTCTATGGGTTTAGAATATAATTTAAGCCAACCATTTTAAACACATTAATGATACCTAGAAATAGGATAAATTAATGAAGATAGTTTCTATTCTTGTCTATGAGGAAAGAAATTATTAGTCCAACTGTAGTCTTAATTTCCCTAATTAAGAGGTCCAAGAACATATCCATTTCTAATTACTCAATTCATTGCCCTTATTTGCATCCTTGAATATTCAATATTTATACATTAATCTTTAATTTGCACATTGCTCCTAGATATAATTTAGCGTAATATAGAACAAAATCACTTTCCTATATTGAAAAAGCTTCCAACAATTAGCGATAGCCCGTGACTAAAATTAAATTAAGAAACTTCTCCGCCATTCCTCAAGAGACACGACACTCGGGGAAAAACCGAAAGGTTAGACTCCGTTTTACTACAGCGCCGCGAAAGCGGTTATCAAATGGCGCCGTTGCCGGGGAATGGCACGATTATTTCTTGATTTAATTCTAGCATAGGTGAATTCTAGTTAGGGAGACTTTTTCGCCCTTGCGACAATTTTTATAAAGATTTCAGGATAAATGAATGCACACCCGCTCTAAAGGAGTGGAAGGACTAATTGAACTTGATCCTGAACCTGAACGAACTTTGTGGAAAAATCTTTCAATCCACAAGAAACCAAGCATGGCGGGAGAAAGAACGGTGTTGCAAAACCTTACGCCAAACTTCATCGAGGATGATAGTATCAGCGCACCGGCAATCGAGGCAGCCAATTTCGAGATCAAACCCGCCATTGTCAATATGATGTCCAACCATCAATTTGGCGGGTCCAAGCAAGATGACCCTAGGGCCCACATGTTGTGGTTCACCCGAGCATGCCAAACGTTCCGCTTTAACGGAGTGACCTCCGACGCCGCAAAGTTGACCTTATTTCCCTTCTCATTACGGGATAGGGCATCTTTGTGGCTGAATAGCTTTCCAACGGGTCACTTCACAACATGGGCGGCACTGCACCAAGCATTCATGCAAGAATACTTTCCTCCATCGGCAGTTGCTAAAATTAAAACAGCAATCCAAAATTTTAGGCAATTCCCGATGGAGTCCTTAAGTGAAGCATGGGATCGTTTCAAGGATATGAGAAACAAATGTCCACTCACACTGATGGATTCTAGTAGCTTGATGTTCCATTTTTACAATGGACTTCAAGTTAGTAGCAAAAAAGAACTTGATTTCTCTTCTCAGGTGGGATCATTCCTTGACATGGCACCCAACACCAACGAAGCTCTGGTGGAGAAGGTCACTTCAAATGCAAGATACTGGTATGACGAAAGAACTCCAGCAGCAACAAAACCAGGCTATCTTGAAGTTGACCAACTCACGGCCCTAACAGCAAAGATTGAAGGGTTGGTCGTGGAAGTAAAGAATCTGAAGAATGAAAACAATCACACCAACCAAGTCAACAACATCGGTGCTGTCTCGAATCAACAATCATCCCGATACTTCGGGAACACAAGCTCTGCTCCACAGTCATCTCAATTTAATACTTTTTCACCTGTTTCTCATTCAACTGAACTTGTACTCTCATGTGAGATATGTTTTGGTCCACATTTGACCAACTCATGTCAATTAGTCGATGAATGTAATGTAAACAACAACAGGGAAGTGAACATGCTGGAGTATGGCCGAACAAAACAAGAAGGGCCATGGGCGAATCAAGGCAACCGGGGGGGTAACTCAAACTACCCTCCTCAAAATTATCAAGGGAGGAATTACCAAGGTAACCAATGGCGGGGGGATTACAACAATGGTCCTCCTCGCGGCGGTTATCAAGGTAATCAATACTACCCCAACAATAATCAAGGGAACAACTTCCAGAGTCGGAACCAGGGAGGTGCACCAGCCCAACAGAACAACCAGGCTTATGTGCCTCCACATCAACGACAAACGGAGGCTGCCCAACCATCAGAGATAGGCCTGCTGGTTGCAGAACTGGCAAGGACACGGGAGGAAATGTCAAGATACAAGGCCAGCACTGACAATCAGATCAAAAATCTGATGATGCAAATTAATCAGAACAATGTTCCCGGTCGTCAGCCAGGCAACTTGCCTAGCACCACGGAACCAAACCCCCGTGAACATGTGCAAGCCATCACTCTCCGAAGCGGGAGACAAACAACCGTGGCTGAGCAGAAAGACAAGGAAGAGGAAGGTACCCCGACCATGGAACCTGAGAAACAAACTAATGCTCCAACTGAGAAGAGCATGGAACCAACACGCCCTAACACAAGGGTCACTATCGTCAACCCTTCTCTCCCGTTTCCTTCACGGGTTAGAAATGATGACGATAGCAGGAAGTACAACAAATTCCTGGACCTACTCAAACAACTCCACGTCAACCTGCCGCTGATGGATGCCCTAGCGGAGATGCCCAAATATGCCAAGTTTTTCAAAGACTTGTTGACGAACAAGAGGCAGCTGCAGGAGCTCTCAGTCGTGGACTTAAACGCAGAATGCTCGGCCGTGGTTATAAGGTCAATACCCGAAAAGCTAAAGGATCCAGGTAGTTTCACTATCCCTTGCTCTATTGACAATTTCAATTTCAATAATGCTCTAGCTGACTTAGGGGCAAGTATCAATCTGATGCCTTCCTCTATAGTCGAAAAGCTAGGACTTGGGGAAATGAAACCTACCAGGATGTGTCTTCAACTGGCTGATCGCTCAGTCAAATATCCGAAAGGAATTGTTGAAGACGTCTTGGTCAAGGTTGACAAATTCATTTTCCCAGTCGACTTTGTAGTAATGGACATGGAAGAGGATAGGGAAACACCTCTTATTCTGGGAAGGCCCTTTCTGGCCACCGCCAGGGCCTTGATTGATGTCACTGATGGCTCATTAACTCTAAGAGTCGGAGATGATCTTTGCACCTTCCGACTCTCAGATGTTATGAAACACCCCACAGATTCCTTTCAAGGATGTCATTTTCTTGATACCTTTGAGTCAATTGAAGGGTATCTGTTTGGGGAAGAAAATGGACATGTAACTGATGAAGCATGTCTGTTAAAAAAGGCCAACAGTGATGTGAGTGATGCATGTGAGAGTTGTGAGGATGCGCTGATTGATCAAGCTTCTAACGAAGTATTGTCTGAGTTTGAGGGGGAGAAAAATGAACAAAACTTGAAAAACGACCACCCCCTCGAACTAAAGAAACTGCCCGACCACTTAGAATATGCATTTTTGGATGACGAAGGCAAATGCCCTGTCGTCATCGCCGCACACTTAAGTGAGGAACAAAGGGAGAAATTACTTGGAGTCCTTAAGACACACAAGCAAGCAATTGCTTGGAAACTTGAGGACATCAATGGAATAAGCCCCGCCTTTTGTACCCACACCATCAAGATTGAGGAAGGGTTTAAACCAGTTGTCCAACCACAACGACGTTTAAACCCAAACATGATGGAAGTAGTGCGTGCTGAGATTGTCAAACTGCTGGATGCGGGTATCATTTACCCCATCTCTGATAGCCAGTGGGTAAGCCCTATTCATGTTGTCCCCAAAAAGGGGGGAATGACCGTCATGAAAAATGAAAAGGGCGAACTTCTACCCAGTCGAACTGTTACCGGGTGGCGAATGGTAATCGATTACCGCAAACTAAACGAAGCCACCCGGAAAGACCATTTTCCCCTTCCCTTCATCGATCAATTAATAGAGAGGTTGGCAGGCCATAGTCACTACTGTTTCCTGGATGGCATGAGTGGATACTTCCAAATCCATGTCAACCCGGAAGACCAAGACAAAACTACGTTTACATGCCCTTTTGGGACCTTTGCTTTTCGTAGGATGTCTTTCGGTCTCTGTAATGCTCCTGCCACCTTCATGAGGTGCATGATTGCCATTTTTGAAAAATACATTGGCCACTTCATGGAGGTATTCATGGATGACTTCTCTATTTTTGGGGAAACGTTTGAAAAATGCCTTGAAAACCTGGAAAAAGTACTTATCCGCTGCAAGGAAACCCATTTAGCCCTAAGTTGGGAGAAATGTCATTTCCTTGTGAAAGAGGGTATAGTACTTGGACATAAAGTGTCAAGTAACGGGGTAGAGGTGGACCGTGCAAAAATTGAGACGATAGAGAAACTTCCTCCACCAACCACGGTAAAAGCCATCCGCAGCTTCTTAGGACACGCGGGCTTTTATCGTCGTTTTATAAAGGATTTCTCTAAAATCGCAAAACCTCTCACCCGGTTACTTGAAAAAGATGCGGTTTTTATATTCTCTGATGAATGTCACCATGCTTTCCAAGCACTTAAAACACAACTGATCAATGCACCGGTGCTTGTGGCCCCAGATTGGAGTTTACCCTTTGAACTCATGTGTGACGCTAGTGACTTAGTAGTGGGGGCCATTCTTGGTCAAAGGAAGGACAAGAACTTCCACCCAATCTACTACGCTAGCAAAACTCTGTCAGGGCCACAACTCAACTACACTACCACTGAAAAAGAATTCCTTGCTATTGTTTGTGCTTTAGAGAAGTTTAGGACTTACATCATCCTTTCGAAGGTTATTATCTATACCGACCATTCGGCCATTAGATATCTCCTCCAAAAGCATGATGCTAAGCCTAGACTGTTACGCTGGGTTCTTTTGTTGCAGGAATTTGATATTGAAATCAGGGACCGAAAAGGATCTGCTAATCAGGCAGCTGATCACCTCTCGAGGTTAGATGCCGAGTTAGCAGAAACTTTCGGAAAATGCGAAATTGAGGAGCTTTTTCCTGCTGAGAGATTGATGGCTATATCCGCCAAGGAGCAAACACCGTGGTATGCCGACATTGCCAACTACCTTGTTGGTAAAGTCGAGCCTACTGAACTGACGAGACACATGAAGAGGCGGTTCTTATCAGAAGCAAAGCACTATTTTTGGGATGATCCATATCTATTCCGAATTTGTGCTGACCAGGTGGTGAGAAGATGTGTTACTGAAGCTGAGGCAAGGGACATTCTGGAGCATTGTCACAGCGGCCCTACTGGGGGCCATTTCTCAGGGAATAGAACCGCAAGGCGGGTTTTGGACTGTGGGTACTTCTGGCCCACGATTTTTAAAGATGCTAATGAATTTGTTTCCTCTTGTGATAACTGTCAACGAATCGGGAACATTTCTGGGCGCAATGAGATGCCCCAACACTTTATCTTACCTTGTGAGGTATTTGATGTTTGGGGCATCGACTTTGTTGGACCTTTCCCAAGCTCAAGAGGAAACAAATACATTCTTGTGGCCATTGATTATGTTTCTAAATGGGTTGAAGCCCAGGCCTGTGTCACCAACGACTCTCGAGTAGTCGTGAATTTTCTGAAAAAGCTCTTTACCAGATTTGGTGTGCCTAGGGTTTTGATCAGCGATAGAGGGACTCATTTCCACAATGATCCAATGGCCAGAATTTTGGCCAAATATGGAGTCCAACATCGAAGCGGAGTAGCGTACCACCCCCAGACTCAGGGACAAGTGGAGAACGCTAACAGGAATTTGAAGTCCATTCTGGAGAAAACTGTTGCCCAGACCAGGAAAGACTGGTCGACTAAACTTGACGACGCTCTTTGGGCATTTCGGACTGCATACAAAACCCCGATCGGAACCACACCTTTTCGCCTTGTATACGGGAAGTCTTGCCACTTACCCGTCGAACTCGAGCATAAGGCACTTTGGGCGATGAAAAATGTTTGTTTTAAACTGGATGCTGCAGGGAAGGAACGATTTTACCAGCTGAATGAACTGGAAGAATGGAGAGCGCAAGCTTTTCATAATTCCAAACTTTACAAGGAACGAGCCAAACTCTACCATGATCAACACATCAAGGCTCGTGATTTCAATGCTGGAGATAAAGTGCTGTTGTTCAACTCCAGGTTGAAGCTTTTCCCAGGAAAGCTTAAGTCAAGATGGTCCGGACCGTTCAAGGTCATAAAAGCTTACCCCTACGGAACTGTTGAGATTGAAGATGCTAATGGGGCTCCCTTTAAAGTCAACGGCCACCAACTTAAACTCTACCATGGCGGCCCGATTGAAAAAAGCAAGGAGATTCTCTATCTCCAAAAATTTTGAACCGAAGGAGGACATTCGTCAAGCTAGTGACGTTAAAGAAGCGCTAATTGGGAGGCAACCCAACACAAAAAAAAAAAAAAAAAAAAAAAAAAAAAAAACTAACCCAAAAATATTTTACTTTGTTTATTTCTTGCAGATGTCTGGAGGAAGACGTGACGATCCCATTTTCGAAGAGCCACCCGGGATATGCAGGAGGAGTTAGAGACCCAGAGGCTAGATATTGATGAGATGAGAGATTGGCTTAGGCCACACTATGGCCCTCGGGATTACGCAGGCGATGCTTAGTTTTGCTTCTTCCTTGACATATTTTTTTATTGTGTTTGTTTGTTTCTTCAGGTTGGACATTGCGCTGCTCTTTTGACTTGAATGCTCTTACAAACTGACTATGGATGATGTAAGGATTTTAAAAAACCATTTTACTCCTGTTTCATTATTCCTCTTCACAAAATCTTTTCAAAACTCAAGTGTGAGGAAAGAACCAAAAAAAAATAAAAAAAAATGTGCCTTTATTTCCCAGTTTTGTGCCTCAAAAGAAGACCTCGAGGGCGAGGTCCAGCTCAAGTGTGAGGAGGTTGCGTTTTACACTCAAAAGCTAAAACCTTATTTTAGAACAATCTTTTTACTATTTTTGACATGAAACATTAATTTCTCAATTTGTTATCAATCTCATAAATAGCTTAGATAATCACCCTTATTATAAGAATTTACTTTTATTATTATTTAGAAAACTTGAATTTGTTATGGGTTTTTGGTTGTGAATGTAAAGGGCTGAATTTGTTTTAATAGGACATTCATTTTATTCATTAAAACAAAAATGTTAGTATTAATAAAACTCCAAAACTCATTGTTATAGGACAATTCCATCTCCGAAAAGGGGCTCTGTTTCATTCGTTAATCACAGTCTGTGAGAATGAAATATGCATTTACCATGGGATAACACCGCCAACAAGAGTGAAAAAGAGCAAAAAAAAAAAAAAAAAAAAAATGGTGAACAAGATGAATGTCCCAATTAGAATAATGAAAACCTTGGGATAAGGAATTGATTGGTGGTTTAACATAATAAATAGTTTTTCTTAAGTAATACTAATTTTAAACTCTTGTATTTTGGGTGATTTTTCTAAAATGTTTAAAGATTGAGAATAAAAAGAAGAGGTTTTTGTTTCTACTTCTTTAAAATAGCAATTAGATTGTAATACAGTTAGACTTTACCTTTTGAGTGTGTTTACAACTAATTCGTCGCTTGAGGACAAGCAACGCTTAAGTGTGAGGAGATTGATAAGTCCATTTTTGTACTTATTTTTCTTATCAAATTTAAGCGATTTTTGAATAAAAATAGAAAGAAAAGGCATGTTTTAGATATTTTGGTTCGAGTTTCATGAAATCAGGTAAAAATCACATCCATAATATGTTTAGCGGGATTTCGGGTCAATTGAGCACAAAATGAGCCAATTTGGACAACAAATGATATCATACCAAAAGAAGGAAACATTATTTCAAAGTGGTCCAGAAGACAATATTGAAGAGCACAAAACAAGGAACAAGCCGGACAAAGAATCTCATAGGCGCCCAAACAGGCGGCCAAAACGAAGGCCTTCGCGGCCGCCTACGGTATTTTTGGAAAGTCAAACTTTGACTTTGACCGGATTCGGAAAAGACCGTAGGCCGCCGACACTGGACGGAAGGCGGCCGCCTACGGTGACCGCCTGCGGCAGAAGACGACGAAGCAACCACCGGCCGGTGGGATTTGACGGCAGGCGGCCAGACAGGAACGGCAGGCGGCCGCCTGCTGGACCGCCTGCGGTGGCCGGGATCCGCCGGGATCCGCCGGGATCCGATTTGACAGTGAAAAGACGGCAGGCGGCCGATGGGTGACGGAAGGCGGCCGCCCTCTGTGGCCGCCTACGGCTGACGGAGACCAGCCCACGTGTCGTTGCCGGCGAGCTGACGGCAGGCGGCCAGTTGCTGCCGGAAGGCGGCCGCCTGCCCGGGCGCCTTCGGGGAAATTTTTCCTATAAATTGCCCGATTTTTCCTCAACTCAAAGACACCTCTTCCAATCCTAAATCAGTTCAAAACACCTTCTTTCTTCCTCCATTTTCGAGCTCCAAAGGTCTTAGAGAGAGAGAAACTTCAAATCTTCATATCTTCTTCATTTTAGTTCCAAATTGTAAGTTCTTTATATGTATTTTCATCTTCTCAACGAGTAGAATCTGAATCTGCACTTTGTTTGTTCAATCTGTTCTTCGAAAATTTCCAGATTATTTTTCAAGTATTTCGCATTTACTTCCAAAAATTAAATAAAATAGTTGTTGATGTTTAATTCATTCCAATTAATTATATAGTTGTTCAATAGCCTCAAGGTAGTTAATTATCTTATTAAAGTTAATTTTCACGAACCAGAAGTAATTTTTAATTAATTTTGGTAATTATTTGATATTAGTTCGTAATTTAGATTAAATACTAGAAAAAAGGAAAAAAAATTAGTTCGGCCTTAATTTCAGTTTAATTCATAGTAATATCACTCCCAGTAGCTAAAATGAAATTTGTAACGAAGTTAGCATATTTTTAGTTGCTTTTTGCATTTTCTAGTTAAAATTGGGAAAATTATCAATTAGTTGTTAAAATTGGATTTTAGGTTCAAAAATTGGTGAAAAATTCCAGAAAGTTATATTTTAGTTCCTACAAATTTATTGTTCCAGAATATAATTTTTGTTTGATGTTTGCTATCATACATGTTTAATTCCTTGTTAATGTTGAATTTAATCATTATGTTGTTAATTGCAAAAATGATAATGAGTAGCTAAATTTGTTAGGGCATGAATTGAGAAAAGGAATATGGATTGACTTGTTGACCTAAAATTAGGGGTTAAGATTAATAAATTGGACTAGTTGTTTAAAATGATGAAATAAGCAATTAATAATAGTTAGCCATTTTCATTAATTAAATTCTTGGAAAATTAATTCTAACTTGTCGATGAGATTAGAAATGAATTTGAGCCAACCATATTTGAGCACTTTAATAAGGCCTAGAAATAGGATAATTTAATGAAAAGGATTTACATCTTGTCTATGAGAAATAAATTCAATTGCTAAAATAAAGAGTTTAACTAGTTAATGAATTTGGCTATTTTTATTAATTAAAGTATTGGAAAATTATTTCTACCTTGTCTATGGGTTTAGAATATAATTTAAGCCAACCATTTTAAACACATTAATGATACCTAGAAATAGGATAAATTAATGAAGATAGTTTCTATTCTTGTCTATGAGGAAAGAAATTATTAGTCCAACTGTAGTCTTAATTTCCCTAATTAAGAGGTCCAAGAACATATCCATTTCTAATTACTCAATTCATTGCCCTTATTTGCATCCTTGAATATTCAATATTTATACATTAATCTTTAATTTGCACATTGCTCCTAGATATAATTTAGCGTAATATAGAACAAAATCACTTTCCTATATTGAAAAAGCTTCCAACAATTAGCGATAGCCCGTGACTAAAATTAAATTAATAAACTTCTCCGCCATTCCTCAAGAGACACGACACTCGGGGAAAAACCGAAAGGTTAGACTCCGTTTTACTACAGCGCCGCGAAAGCGGTTATCAGGTGAGCAAAAATACCGAAATATCATTATACCGCACTTACCGTACCGAAAAATACAGGAAAATACCGAAATATTGGTATACCGTCATTTTCGGTACGGTATCATACCGTACCGATCTATTTCGGTACAGTAACGGTAAATGTTTTCAAATACCGCGGTATACCGGTATAATACCGTACCGACTCCCTACTCAACAATTACTTTTAATTCTAATACTTCCTCCGTTCTATAATTCTTGCAACATTGTGATTTTTACACTATTCACAGATCGTACTTTGACCATGATTTTCTACTAATATACATAATCAAATTATTACGTATAAAATGTTATTGAACTCTTATCAATGTGAATTTCCAAAATATCAACTTTTTATAATGTTTACTAATACATAATTAAATATAATTACAATCAAAGTTGTGCATTAGCAAACGTGAAAGTCAAACTGTTGCAAGAATTATAGAACGGAGGATAGTATATTGTAGAAATCCATTACAATTTTGAAGCCCAAAATTAATACTTTTTTTCGAGGGTCCAAAATTAATACTTAAGTTGGTTACAAATACAAAAATACAAAAACAAAGGCCCAATTTCTTAAACCCACTATAACCTTATAGGCTTCTACTACGCTAACCTTAATGACTAATGACTAATGTGCAAAATGTCAAGAAACAAGTCCATCTTGTTCCAAGATCTAGCAAGTCGTGATGGTTGAACTGTTAAGTAGCTGACAAGTGAAGAGAGATACACTTATGTGACAAGTATATCTACATAGGGATTTCGCGAGTCGAGACACACAACTTTATCCGAAAGTCTTATTCAAATTTTAAAAAATTATAAAAATGACTAAATACACAATATCATATTAGAAATAAATGATTTTATATTCATGTTGTTTGAATAGTTTTATTTATTTTTGTTAGAGATCACTGTTGATTTAATTATATCTATATTGTTCAAGTTATTTTAGGAGAATGTGTTACTTTTCTTTTTAATATGCGGAATGTTGAACTGCTTAAATATACTAATAATAGATTTAACATGTCACTAGTAATAACGATTTTTTAGTATATTTCGTTAGTCTGTGATAATTTTTTGTATTGGGAGACATGCACGGTAATTTATCGATACTGTACCGTTACCGAATCGAAACTTCGGTATAATTATATCGAAAGGGAAAGGACATGCGGTATACCAAAACTTTGGTAAGATAAAGGTATGCAAATTTTGCATACCGAAAATTTTAGTACGGCAAATATATGAGAAAAAATATAAAATATAACGTACCGAACCCCTAGTTGGGTCGTATTGGTTTGTACGGCGTGTAGCCTTCATTAAGGAGCAACGTGATTTAAAAAGGATCCCCTTTCCGAGCCCAAGTCTTTCCGTCTCCCCTGGGCTGATTTTCTCTCCCCAAAACATCCGATCATCACTTTTCTTTCTCTCCCAGCCCATGACTTTCTTTTCCTTTTCCCTGCAAACATCTTAGAATTCGAATCTGAACCATTCGCTACTACCACGGATATTAGTTGATGCCCTAAAAGAGTTTGGGGACGTATCGGGCCTAAGGGTTAATCATAACAAGTCAAACATTTTCATTGGAGGAGTTCATAGTTTTGATGTGCAAGGTATATTAGATCTTGTTGACTTTGACCAGGGTATTTTCCCTGTGAGATACCTTGGGGTCCCACTTGCGCCCCTCAAAATCTCGGTGGCACAGTATGCCCCACTCTTGGATACGGTTAATGATTTTTTGAATGCATGGAATACCAAGACAATTTCCTATGCGGGTAAACTTGAGCTAATTCGTTCTGTAATTCAAGGAGTTCAGTCATTTTGGCTTCAAGTGTTCCCGGTACCTCAAACAATCTTAAATAGGATTGTCTCGATTTGTCGTATTTTCCTATGGGGTGGTAAATTTGCAAAGGTGGCTTGGGATGACATTTGCCTCCCTAGAGAGGAAGGGGGCTTGGGTATCCATAATGCTAAGATATGGAACCATGCTCTCCTATCTAGAACCCTTTGGGATGTCCACCAAAAAAAGGACACGCTCTGGGTACGTTGGGTGAATGGAGTCTATCTCAAAGGTAGAAATGTGTGGGACTTTGTCCCACACACTCGGGACTCCCAACTAATGAAGCGATTAAGTCTTATACGGAATAAAATATGTGAATGTTTTAATAATCGAAACGATATGTTGCTCGGCCTTAATGCACGATCCATGCATGGAAAATTAGCCTCCGCAAAAATTTATGATTTACTAAGAGTAAGGGGTAATGTTAGAACTCCTATGTGTTTCATATGGAAGTCTTACATTCCTCCCAAACTATCTTTTAATGTATGGATGGCATTAAGGAACCGGCTTCCTACACAGGATAGCCTTGGGTATTTGCACATTGTGAATAGGTGTGACCTTTGCAAGGGTGGTTTGGAAACAATACCACACCTTTTTTTCCTTTGCCCCTTCACATGTAGGGTGTGGCAGCGCATAAGAGATTGGATGGGATTGCGGCATGAGATGACTACGCTGCTAAGCGCTATCAAATGGATCACAAAGACTCACAAAGGCTCGAGGATGAAGGCAAAGGCAGTCCGCCTAGCTTTCTGCGCCTCGGTCTACTACATTTGGAATGCTAGGAACTCCTGTAGATTTGATGGAAGCATAAAAATGGAAGAAGAGGTCATTGCAAAGATAAAACATGTGGTATACAAAATAATGTATTCTATATATCCACATGATCTTATCAAATTTTGAAGGAAGACACGGTCAGGAGGCAAAGCTATAAGCAGAGTTCGTGACAAGTATATTTTGATGAAGTGAGCATGGACATGAATTATGCCGCGGCATTAATAGCACCTTTGGGCAGGAATTAGGCTGCGGCATCTATAGAACCTCTGGGAACTAATTATGCTGCGGCCTCAACTGAACTTCTGATTTTTGGGGATGTTTGCCTATTGCAACATCTTGTATGCATCTGTTTTATTAGCCTTTGATCCGTGAGCGTGCTTCTGCAGCTCCGATGTAGTTTTGTACTTTTTGATTGACCAAGTACTATACTTGGTTTTTTGGACATGGATTAGATCAAATAAAAACCTCCTTTCACCCCCACTTTATGTGGGGGTGGGGGAGGTTTTAGGAGATCTAGGACATGTGTTGTATAGTTCCGTTTGGGTGTTAATATATATTTACATTTCATCCAAAAAAAAAACGGAGACAAAATTCAGATCTGGCACTCCATGGCTTTCATCTTCAACCAGCGACGGACTCCTCGGCTCCTCCACCAGCAAAGTCGGCGGCTACCGCAGCGAAGACGACGGCGACCAAAGAAGCAACGGATGAAGTGGTCGGGGCTGTGCAGATCTGGTATAGATCTGGGTTGGGGCCTGGGTTACGGACTTACGGTGGTACTGGAGCCGGGCCGACAAAGTCGGTGATTGGTTGAGGTCAGAAGGCCGGAGCCGTGCCCGAAGCCGTGCCCGAAGCCGTGCCCGAAGCCGTGCCCGAACCCGTGCCCGAACCCGTGCCCGAACCCGTGCCCGAACCCGTGCCCGAACCCGTG